GTGTACTGTCAAATCAGATCTGACTGATACAGGAGGAGACTGTCCCTCCTTCTCCAGCAGAGCATCTGGTGGATTACAACAGAGTACGTCTAGGATTGCAGTGCAGTTCTTTGCCACTAGGCCACCAGAGCTCCCTTAATATAATGTTTTTAAAAGATCACAATCTTTTATTATGCTATTATTTCACTAAATATTTTTTCATTTGCCATCTCACATGCAATATTTGCAATAATCTTGTGAAATAGATACTCTTATTCCTGTTTTATGGATGAAGAATGTTAATTTCAGAGAAGTACAAAGGTCCTGAGCACACAGGTAATACCAAAAAGAGGCGGGTTCTGCCTGGATTATCAGTCCTTGGATCAACACTCATGCTAAGTCTGCCCTCGACAAACATGTTTTCCAAGGAGAGATACAGCATCTAACTATAATGCTGTAAACCAATCCACTGGAATGTTGATTTCACATTTAGAAAATGCATGGAGTATTGGATTTTTAAGAACTGATAAGAACTTAGTTACTCAGGGAATAAAGTGGAAGGCAAAATTTCTGGACAAACTTCTAATTAGTAAATCCTGATATTGTACCTTTGACAAGGTACACTTGATTGAGATAAGATTTTAAGTTTGTGTGTGTGTGCGTATGTGCATGTTTGAATATTATATATGCTCAGCTCCGGTGGCCTAGTGGCAAGAAGCAGAGCTTCAACCCCGAAGGTATGTGGTTTGAAGCCACTTCCTCCTCCATGGGAGAAGGAGGGGCAATTTCCTTCCATGAGATTAACTGCTACTGAGAACCCACCTAAGGGTCAGCTATGGATCAGATCCAGCTCGATGGAACACAGCAACAAACACCACCACATCATTATACTTAGTAACTCCTTTGTGCAAGGCACATTGTTAGATACTGTACTCTGTGTGTGCTTGTATCAATGTTTTTGCAAATATAAAACGTGATTTCTTTTCCAAAGTATGTGAACTTTACTGAATATGAAATATAGTGTTGTAACATATTTAGTTTCAAAGGAAATCAAGGCATCTTTTATGTTTTCTTATCTTTAATTTTGATTGTGCATTTATTTGCGGTTGAGGAAAGAAGAGCAACCACAGGTGATGTGAAATAGAGACTGTATCCTTGGGAACTGGTGAAGCTGTGAAAGGTGGCAGAGAAATCTATACAAAGCTGTTTTCTTTGCATCTGGTGACAGGCCTATAATTGTTATTTGTCAACCAACTGACAGTTACAGATTTTGGAAAACAATGCAAAACTGGAACCTGTGAAGAAAATTCAGAATTATTAGCCCTGGATATACTCACTAAGTTGTGGCAAAAAATCTGAAGGAAAACCACCTGACCAACAGATTGGAAGAGATTTATATTTGTTCCCATTCCAAAGAAAGGTGAACCAACAGAGTGTGGAAATATCGAACAATATCATTGATATTACATGTAAGCAAGATTCTGCTAAAGATTATCTAAAAACGACTAGAACAACACATCAACCGAGAACTGCCTGAAGTGCAGGCTGGGTTTAGAAGAGGCTGAGGTACTAGAGATATTATGGCTAATGTTAGAAGGATCTTGGCTGAAAGCAGTGAGTACCAGAGGAATGTCTGTGTTTCATTGACTATGCAAAGACATTTGCCTGTGTGGCCCACAACAAACTGTGGCTGACTATGAGAAAAATGGGAATTCCAGAACAGTTGATCAAACTTATGCTAAGCCTATACTTGGACCAGGAGGCAGTCTTCAGAACAGAACAAGAAAATACTGCATGGTTCAAAACTGGCTAGAGTGTACACCAGGGATTTGTCCTACCTTTTCATTCTATATGCAGAACAGATTATTCAGGAGGCTGGGCTCTTTGAGGAGAAATGTGGCATCAGAATTGGAGGAAGACTCATTAGCAATCTGTATTATGCAGATGACACAACCCAGCTTGCTGAAACTGAGGAGGTCCTGAAATGTGTGCTGCAGAAGGTCAAGGACTGCAGCCTTCAATATGGATTGATATTCAGCATCAAGAAAACAAAGATTCTTACCACTAGGCCAATTGGCAACATCATGATAGACGGTCAAGAGATTGAGATTATTAACCACTTTAGTTTGCTTGGCTACATAATCAACAATTTTGGCACCCACAGCCAGAAAATGAAAAGATAAATTGCACTGGAAAAGTCTTCTGTCAAAGACTTCTCTAAAGTACTCAAGAGCAACGATGTCAGTCTGGAGACTAAGGTGAGCCTGATCCAGGCCATGTTCTTAGAAACTATGCATCAGAGAGCTGAACAATGACTAGGAAGGATAGAAGGAGAATTGATGCCTTTGAGCTGTGGTGCTGGAGAAGAGTATTGCCATATCATGGACTGCTAGAATACAAATGGGTTCATCTTAGAGAGGGTGAGACTAGGCTGCTCCCTTTAGGCAAGGATTCTGAAGCTTCATTTGACATGCTTTGGACATGTTGCAGGGAGGGACCAGTCCTTGCAGAATATGCTTGGGAGGGTGGAGGGACAGCGCAGAAGAGGAAGACCCTCAATGAGATAGACTGATTTAGCGATGGGGTAATGGGGGTAAGTGTGTCAGAAACAATAAGATTGGCATGGGATAGAGCAGGGTTTAGGGCTGTTATACATAGGATCACTATGAGTCACAGGTGACTTGATGGCACATAAAAACAATAACAACAACAACAACAACAGTGACCAAGTAAAGCTTGATCATTTACACTGCATTGGAACAGAAGAGGGGAAGATCTCTCTGAAAGGAATGTATGATTAGACATTATATGTATGGCAACAATCAGGGATAAGAGATGCACAGCAAAGTGGACGGGGGAAAAGGAAACGGAGGGTGAGGGCGGAAAATACTCAACAGTGAGTGAATAAGAATCTTTCTGTACACATTCATTAAAATCACAATAAAACATGAGATCCCTACACACTCACCACAAAAAAGACCTAAAATTACTATATTAGTAATTTATAAGACCTATATTACTTCAATGTAAATTTTAGAAAAAGAGATAGAAAATAGGATAGAGGCACATTTAACAAAAATATGTACAGATAATTTTTCAGAACTAAACCCACAAATTAAAAGCGCCCAACACATGCCAAAGAGGATAAAAAAAAGAGGAAATTCACTTCATCGTAATAAAACTATAGAAAGCCAAATGAGAGAGAAAATCTTATAAACTAGAGAAAGAAAAATATAGATTACTAACAAAGGAGTACCAGTTACCAATGGACTATTTCTAACTTTTGTTACCTGAATTTCATG